CCTCTTGTTTTCTGTGTTGACAGCTTAAGAGGCAAGGTCAGGAGCTTGCCAGCAAGCTTTGTTGTTCTGCATCTAATGGCACTCAGTGAAAGGAAGGAAGCGGCACAACTCGAGTGCTCTGCTTTCATTAGAGGCCTTCCTAACTGTTCGTGTAGCGGGAGCTCACTTCCTACAGGTGATACTTGAGCGTGGTGTGCTGTGCGTTTGAGGCCTTTGCTGAAAAGGTCATGGAGGGAAAATAGTTCTCAACACAAAGCTGCTCTTCAAGTAAGAGATGTGAATATAAGTACATAAAATAGTGATGCTACGTGAATGAAGAGGAGCGACTTGGATTAATGTCTGCACTGAGTTCCTTCAGCCAAGCACCTGACATCACAGCTCAGACAAAGATGCCTGTCCCAGAAGTTCAGTTAATGCATTTAGTGCATTTTTAATGCTACAAATACTGCTACAAGTGATGCATAATACTAAAGTACACTTTAAATGTCCATTTCCTGAAATAAAAACTTTTCATTTACTGGAGATAATTTTTACCCCACATACTGAACATACTGGGAAAAAAACCCCTTATATTTCGTATATTTTTGTCTTTTTAAACAACATGAATAACGAACATGAACAATAACCACTTCATGGTTTCGACAGTAATGACAGACATGCAGTAAAGCGTTTAACTTTTGGATGTTACTTTCTCTCTGCATGCACTCAAAGAATATGATCATATTGTGTAAATTTTCATTCTATTTCACTTTGCTACACAACAGAGAAAAATGTTGAATTTGGTCAAATGAAATTGACTTGATTAGCAAACGTTCAGTTTATAGCAAGCATATTTTCCTCACTGATTAAGTATTGAAATGAATAAATCTTTAATTTTAAATATTTCATTTTCATTTTAATATTATTATTGCTTCATGTCTGTGAGGGAAAGGTATTAATTTTTTTTTTGTGTGTATTGTTTAATCTTAGTTTTCAAGTAAGTTGGAAGAATGCAATACTAATTTGTTGCACTGAATCTCGAGATCTTTTGTCAGGTTCAGATGCACTCGGTTCTTTTTTAGGCATCCTGTTTCTAATCCAAAGGGACTGTGTTTGATGTGGCGAGATAAGGGCTGGACATGCCATCAGTCTCTGGACAGATGTATGTATGTGTCTTCCTGCCTATTAAAATGTCTCTTCTGTGCTTCCGCCAACTTATTCCCCTCCCATCACTGGTTTATTCAAAGAAATAACAAGGGAAATGTAGCCTTTCTTGTTTACTACACATGCAGCAAAGCTGTCTGTTGGAACAGATGTAGCAAGCTATTTTAGCTGCGTTAACATAAGCTGTCTGATTTTAACAGCCCATGCAAGTTTAGATAAAATGACTATAGAGAATGAATTTATCTTATGCAGCAAAATCCACCATGGCTAATTATAGATATGAATAAACTCAACAACAAACATGCTTTAACAAACATGTAATTATTTCTGTTTTACACAATCTGCATTTCAGGAAGACAAACTGACGCCAAAGCTGTAAACATTTTCTGGCTGTGGGACTAACTGTTGAGACTCGCTGCTGCAGCTGATAAGCCCCACAGGATGGCAAGACAGGGCTTATCGAGTCCAACCAAACTAGAAGACCTCTGCTATCGCAGCACCCGCTGGCAGAGGAAAAACTCATCCCCTTATCACCGCTCTGCTGGGGGAATAGAAACTCCTTGCAGCTCCCCCGTTCGCTCACTTCAGGTAGTTCACTCATCTGTCTTCCAGCTTTTGGTTTGAATCCCATATGCTGTGATGTGAGCAGAGAGGCCTTTTTGGCTTACACTCAGTGTTACAAAAGTGCAGTCCAAGTGTTTATTTTCAATGAAAGAAGTTTGTTATTGCATGGAAAGGGAACTAATTTCCAAACAATGGCAGTCCGTGCGACAGTGCAGCAATAGGAAATCTAATGTGTAAGTTGGATTGGACTATTTTATGAGCTGAAATAAACACACCCGCCACTTAGTGAAGAGTGGAAACTCAAGGCAAGAAAAAAAGGATCCAGTTGGGATGAATTCCAACCATATGAGCCTGTAGCTCTATCTGTGCTCCTCATTGGTAGACTGCATGAGCCTGCCTCACACAGACACAACCTTATGTGAACCAGGAACCCGCTGTGTAGCTGGGACATGTGGGGTTGACCCCTGAGGAGAAGCACTCTCTCTCAGCATTGCATGTGGGAAAGTAAGAGCATTTCTTTTTCAAATGAGCAGTTAAAGTAAAAGCATGCAATCTGAAAGAAAATGAGGGTATCCAACTGGTCATGGAGGGATAAGTCTGTCACCAGTATTGACAATTTAATCACGCCTTCTCTGGATGTGATGCTATTTTCAGGGCCAATACAGCGGGGAAGTTGTCATTTAAAACTAAGCTATACCTATATCTTGCTAATGATGAACATGTATATGTTTACATAATGCAGAGCCAGATAGACCAGATGCCAGTTTGGATTATTATGTTTAGAAAATGAGTGTTTGTGTGCTCCTTTCTGCCATCTATACGTAATTTGGATTACAGCATAATTACGTGTTAAGCTAGGTTAGGTCTGGTCAAAAGCTAGTATCATGGCACTGGGTCTTGACTGGCAATGACAGGCCAGAAATCCGGTTCACCAACATGATCAGCATAACATTCTGTATTTGTGAGTGAAAAACCTGAAGGATGCTTTTCAACATTCACAATCCTATATCTGCTATTCCTACCCTGTTGATATATTTTTGACGAGTCTCTTCTTTTCATTGATAATTCTAGATGGAAGCTACAAGCCAATAAAATAATGCTCAGTGTCAATCGGATAACATCAAGAAATGCTTTGGTGGCATATCATGGAGCCACACTTTAATCTTTTGGTTCTAAAGATGCTTAGTGGCCGACAGCATGTTTTGTTATGTGCTAAAATGGAAACTTAGAATTGAAAGAAACCCGGCCCGCTGTCACTCTCACATCATTCTCTCTCTTTAATTCTTACAAAGACTCCAGCCCTACCACCTGCTAGATGGTGATGATCATTGTTTTGCTGGTCTTGATCATGGACAAAGTGGTACTTTTGGGATGATATGGATGAGGTCTTCCTTTTGCCATTATGCTAATACCAGTAAGATAATTGACATAGCTGTGGTTAGTACTCAGTCTTTATCCATGCTCCTGAATTTAAATACTTTAATTTGGTGGTGAATGAGACTTTTTTCTGTACTCCTCAAAGAAAAATGTGTGATAGATTGTAAGCTGTATGAGCTGTTACATCATTAGCGTACTATTTTATTGATTATCTCAGTTGGGCGACCTTTAAAATTTTTAAAGTCATATGTAAATGCACAATACTGTCACGGTCTGTCAGTAATGGAGTTTTAGACCCAAAATGCAAAAAAGGGAAACAGGTGAGCTGTAACAAAAAGTGAGGAGTTTATTTTGGCTGTTAAAAAAATGTCCAGAGAGAAAAACATAAAGGGCAAGGGAGAAATGTGAAACAAAGTTTGAAAGGAAAAAGTAAACTACATACAAAGTTAAAGGACCACACAAAATCGGGAAACACTGAGTGCATGCAAACAAAA